TTTAGAGACGTAATTCCTGAAGGTCATTCCCTAGATCAGGTTCTTAAATTGTTGGGTCTCGGGGTCCCTTTAAACTTTTTAAGAAAAGATTTTACTATGATAAGAACATTTAACATGAGATCTAAACTCTCAACAGACTTAAGTGTACACACAGTGTTGTTGCCTGCAGCCCCGTGTTGAACAGCGAGCGGGTCTCTGGACTATCCATGTAGTAGAACCGAAACTGCACCCACTGAACCGCGACGGCCCCTGCGCCCCTCCCCAGCCTGGCAGCCACCAGCCTAGTCTCCGCTTAGGTCCCTTCGGGAAGCGCATCGTCAGCAGCTGTCTTTCACCCGGCACCCTGCCTTCCGCTTCATCGCCCACTCCTGCTGCAGGCTGTCCTGACGGGCTGGATCATGCCCTGTTGTGATGTACGCCACGCTTTTTAAACCCATCCGTCCATCGCTGCGCACACAGGCTGCTTCGTTTGTGAAGAGTGCTGCAGTAAACTTGTGCTAATAGCTCTTTGTGATCCTGATTCTACTTCTACTGGGTATATACCCAGGAGTGGGATTGCTGATGCCCCTGGTGGTTGTATTTCTAAGGTTCTGAGGAACCTCAATACCGTTTTCCGCAGAGGCTGTGCCACTTTACATTCCTACCCACAGGGCACAAGGGTTCCGATTTGTCATACCCTCGCCAACAACTGTCTTTTTTTTTTTTTTTTAATAATTGTCATCCTAATGTGTGAGGTTTTGGTTTGCATTTCCCTAAAGATTAGTGACATTGAGCATCTTTCATATATCTGTTGGCCATCTGTGTTTCTTCTTCAGAGAAATGTCTATTCAAGTCTTTCGCCCATTTAAAAAATTAAATAATTAGTTATGGGGTTTTATATTGTTTGTTTTTCTTTTGCTATTGAGTTGTAGGAATTCCTTACATATTTTGGAAAGTAACCCTTACTAGATATGTGGCTTACAAATATTTTCTTCCATTGCATAGGTTACCTTTTCTCTCTGTTGACTGTTTCCTTTGCTGTGCAGAAACATTTTAGTTTGGTGTAGTCTTGCTTGTCTGTTTTTTCTTTTGTTGCCTGAGTGTTTGGTCTCATATCCAAGAGATCATTGCCAAGGTCAATGTCATGAAACTTTCTCCTATGTTTTCTTCTATGAGTGTTATAGTTCCAGGTCTTACGTTTAAGTCTTTATCCATTTTGAGTTGATTTTTATGTATGGTGTAAGATAAGAATTTTATTCTTTTACAGTGTATTTGTCCAGTGGTTCCAAGAACATTTGTTGAAGAGACTTTCCTTTCCCTGTGGTGCATTCTTGGCACTCTTGTTGAAGGCCAGCTGACCATATACATATGAATTTATTTCTGGGCCTCTGTTCTCTTCCATTGGTCTGTATTTCTGTCTTTTTGCAAGTACCATGCTGTTTTAATTATTGTAGCTTTGCAGTTTAGTTTGAAATCAGGGGTGTGACACCTCCAGCTTTGTTCTTGTTCAAGAGTCTTTTGGCTATTTATTGTCTTTTATGGCTCTATATGAATTTTAGAATTGTTTCTTCCCCTCTATTCTCTTAAAAATTATGGAAGACCCCGAAGAGTTTTATGTGTGTTATAACTATCAGTATTTATTGTCTTAGAAATTAAAACCAAGCAAAATTTAAAAGACCAGAATTTATAAACACATATTCTAGTGGCCATCTCAGACTCTTAAAATATCTACTATATATTCTTATGAGGTAAGAGTGAATTTCTAAGAATATATATATTCTTATGGAATAAGAGTTATAAAGGTAAATTACATTTTAACATAACTATTAAAATGGGTTTGACCTTTCATATCTCAGAGAAGGATCCAGGGACCCTTTGGGTCCTCAAACCACAGTATAAGAGCTGCTGATTGAGATATCTGGTGGTTATGTACCAAGTGCTGTGTGCTGGGTATTACAGCTACGGTGGTGGGACGGTGGGAAAATATTGGAGGACTTTCTAGTTATTTCTAAAGAGAATTAAACCAGAGCATGCAGTCAACAGCGGCCCAGCATCATTGCAGAGCAGTCTTGTGAAATTCAACCTTTTGATACGATCACTACCAATGTCCTAAAGTTACCAGGAAGTCATAGAACGTGGGCTCCTTACTTTATGCGTAAGAAAACCACACACCTGAGAAATGAGTTTATGTATATACTCAGTGGAGATGACTTGGTATCTCTTTTCTGAACAATGCAATCTTAGTTGGCATGGTTACAATCTAGATATTTGACACTCAGAGTCAGCGGCCCAGCATCACTGCAGAGCAGTCTTGTGAAATTCAACCTCTTGGTAAGATCACTACCAAGAAAAGCACCAGAGGTCTTGACATTTCTCATTATATGGTTAACCAAGTAACACTTAAGAGAATATGTGAGAGCACATTCCTTTAAAAGCCATTTTCATACAAAAATGTGGTATAAAGATAACCCGCACGATTGCTAAAACTCTGCCAAATGCCATCACCCATCGTTTTGATAGAATTTTCTGAGTAGCTTCTCCCCTCGCATCTAAAAATTTGAGGATGTGGGTATGATCAATTTCTCCTTCTTTTCAGAGAGTTTTGGGATGGCTGTGCCACCAAACAGCACCGTGGTTTCAGAACCTGGAGAAAATGTCACGCTCACATACGAGCTTCAAACGAAGGGTCTCATGCAACAAGTCACGTGGGAAAAGATCCAGTCCCATCAGATCGACCTCCTAACCTGCTGCAACTTGTCCCAGGGTAGAAGCGAGCCCTCCAAGTACCGAAGACAAATCCTGAGCAACTGTAGCCAGGGGATGACAAAGAGCTTCATTGTCCTGCCCCACGTCGCAGCCTCCGACTCTGGGCTTTACCGCTGTAGCTTCAAGGCCGGCTCGGGAGAGAATGAAACCTTCGTGGTAAGACTGACCGTAAGCGATGGTGAGTGCATGACAAGGCAAGGAAGAGTTCTGCTCAGGAAAACGTCCTGAAGAACCATCTCGAACACCTGTGAAATAAGGCCCTGTCCATACATGTTGAAAAAGTGATTATAAACATCTTAAATCACAGAGAAAACCGGGGTAGTAGAGTTTCAGGAGGTATAGTTATTTAACTCTTGTTGACGTTTAAAAATGTCTTTCTCTTGTCCAGACACAACTAAGTCTCTTGCCCAAAACAATCTCTTTTCTTTGTACATAAGCTGTAAACACTGTGGAAAATGTAAGCCACAGAACGTGATGGGCAGTGTCTGTGCCCATTTGTTTTGAACACCCACAGGATGGCTTTCTGAGATCCAGGGCAGCTTGAGAGAATGTCACTGGGGCTCATCCGTCAGCAGTTATCATCGACAGAAGGTGACAGCTGTTGACTGCATGCTCTGGTTTAATTCTCTTTAGAAATAACCATAAGTACATATTGAGTATAAAACATCAGATGGGAAGCAAAGCTAGATCGCATGCATTTTCCCTGTTGCGATTTGATAATTTCAGAGCTTGAGGCTGTTTGGTCAAAAATCCATGTAGAGCTAAAAGCAGAGAGACGGGTTTAAGATGTGGAGCAGATTTAATTTATCTCGACTGTCACAGGAAAGGGGATTGTGACGCCAGTTTTATAAGCCGCTCTGCACCCTTTTGTTGGCTCCGATCTTCTTCTTTATAGAGGGACCCATATTCTACACATAAGCAGGGGCTCTTCCCCTGGCATCTGTCTGCTGTGTTCATATTCCGACAAGTACCAGGTACTCACAGGTCACCCAAAAGATGGCACAATGTCAACCAATACGACATATATCGGGCCTTGATTTATTTTGAACAGAGAGAGAAAGTGGCAGAAGCGTGAGTCGAACCCAAATTTACCATTGACTCACTTTGCTAAACGAGAAATACTTGTCTCCTGTTCTTGGCTCTCGGGACCTAAGAAGCGGTAGGAAATAGTTCCAGGTGGACTTTGCTGCATTTGCAGTTTGTCTAGACCACAGGGGCAAGGGCCAGGGGAAAACATGTGTATAGCAACAGTGACCAAAATTATTCTTGGCCCTTAATATTCTTTGGAATTTCATTAGTCACGAGAAAACTATTTTAGTTTCTGCCAAAAGAATTTGTGAAGTCTTCTAATATTGACTAAATGATGTTCCAATTACTAGAGTCTTCACCAAGCTTATTGATTATAAAAAGGTTGGGGATCAAAGAAATGAAGTCAGCTCTCTCAGAAAGTCTCCAGCGGAGACTGGCTTTGGACAGACGTCCATTGGCCACCGCTGAGCCGTATAGTTATTCGTGTGCTTCTCTGATCTTCCAAGGAGGCCGCTCAGCTGAACCATCGGGTTTCACATGAGGCATTCACGCCCCGAGCAGAGGAAGGAGGCAGCACCGAGGACAGGGAGCAGCGGGAAGTCAGCGGGAGTGACCAGGAAGGCGTGGGTGGGTGACCAGTGGCATGGCCAGTGGGGTACCGAGATGCCGAGCTGTGGGTTAGTATAGAGGGTGGTAGGCGCAATGAAGTGATAACTTCTTGAAATTCTGGATCTCATCGAGAGCAATGAAAGCCACTGTCAATTCTTGACCAAAGATGGCAAAATATTCAAGGAAGTGTAAGTCAAGTAGCTGAGTATAGAATAAAAACAAGACATTCAGGCAGAGGAAATGAGCTAAAAGTACGCTGCAGTGGTCAATGCGTGAATGATGGTGCTCTCAGGCGAGGCTACAAAGGAGCCCCCTCCAGGTGGACAAAGTTTCCAACGGCCCCTCCTCGGGGCAGACAGCTTAGGAGAAGGTGCCCCTTCCCCTGGGCCGATGCAGACCTGAGCCGGCGAACAGGCTGGCCGACGGGCCACGGGCCTGCTGCCCACACCGGCTGGGTACGAATCGAAGAGAGAAGTTGGTCTGATGGAAATATCCCCTGGGCTTGTCACCACCAGACAGTCACTCACACTTTTCCATTTCCGCCTTGTCTCACCACCTACTGCTTTTTACCACATTTACTTCCTTTCCTGTGGTGTTTCCAACACATCTGACACCTTCAAAATGTCTCTGCACCGGCCCACACTGCTCCCTGGCCATGAACCACGAGGCGCCTTGAATTCCTCCAACACTTATAACTTGGAACTTTATACCGTTGAGTCAGTACCTGCATCTGTTTGCAGGGGTCCAGGCTCTGATTTTAGAAATTATTTGAGATTCGGGATTATTGGCATCTCTGCTTCCAGTTGCTAGATTGTCCCAGAACTTGTGTTAATATGTGTTCCCAGCTGCTTCTTTGTATATTAATATTCCTTTGTATTCTAGCAGGGACTGTGTCTGCGGCGTCTTCGCGTTTTCTAGCTAGATTCTTTCTAGGTCTTCGTCATCAATACTGGACATTTGAAGTTTAGTGGTTATTGATCACAGGAACCTGAACTCTTAGAAGAGTTGTTTGAGGAGAAATTTTCATTAGCTTAGTTTGCATTTATATCTTTCAAAAAAGTCTACTTTCTTTTTGAAATTTATTCTTGTTTCGCATATTTCTATAAAAGGTGCATAAATGTGAGTCCCCCGGCCTGGGGGACCGGGTGTGTACAGCAGAAGAGTTCACTAGGAAATCATGGGCCACAGCCAAGAGAAGCTCCCCAAAGAGGCAGAGGGGCCATTAACCCAGAACCTTCTGTCCCTCTCCTGGGAATTCACAGTAGATGTGAACACTGCAGGCGTGGGGTTGTCTGGGCCCGTGGGCCCGGGCTGCGGGTGTGCCCATCTCCCTGGCGCAGTGTGAGTGAGCCCGGCCTCTCCTTATCTTCAGCTACACGGAACACTGTGCAGGGCGCTTAGTTCATGTGACAGACCATGGCCGGAGCCCCAGAGCCTGGCCGCCGCTGCGCGCCAGTGCAGACGGCCTCCGGTAGACGGGCTGACCACGGTGTTCAGGCCAGTGTAGCTACGCTTTTAAAATTCTGGGCAGCGGCCGGGTACCCAGCTGAAACGGACTGTCTCCGTCCTCACAAGCGAGCTGATTACTCAATCATGGCCCATTATGTCGCCGGATCCGCCCGAGTCTGTTCTTCAGGAGATTCTGCCCGCATATTGATTTTCTCATCTCTCCTGACACCCCAGCTCCCGCAGCCATCTCCTGTTCACGCCGGGTTTGTACAGATGATGTTGGATCGAGTCGCAGGAAGCTAGTGTCCGAGGGAAGGGAGCGCCGAAGGAGGCCGTGCTGAGTGGGTGACGCGCTGGCTGAGAGTGGGGGTGGGTCAGGCACCTACAGCCGGGTCGGGTTCGCAGAGAGCATCGTGATAAACCCTGTGAGTGGGCGGCGTTCAAAGGCAGCTAATGCGGGGAAACGATTTCTTTAAGTGGGTCTTTATCCGCAGCAGGAATTTCAAACGGTTTTCCTGAAGGTTTCCTCTCCCCGGGAGCCTGGGGCACAGGCGGAGGCTCCCGTTCACACCAGTGCACTGATTTTCCTCCCACTGAAAACCTGCGGCCAGGCTGCTCCAGAGACCCGCCTGCCGGTTCCCGCCGCAAACTAGCCGTTAGACTCCCGTGGGCGGGAGTTTCCATTTCACTGCGCCTGGGGACCGTTAACAGCCCGGTGGCCTCTCGGAGCCTTGTTAGGAACTGAGCGGAGGACGCCGTGAACTTCCCCCAAGGCGAGGAGGAATAGCTGGCAGTTTCTAAAAAAAATTGTTCTTCGTGTAAGATTAATGGCGCTGGGTCGCCATGGCCATTCTAATTTTAGGGCTCACACTGCAATCAGTCAGTGACGACTTCCAGCTTCCACAGAAGCGTCCCAGTCACGCCCTGGCCTGGCTCCTGCCGCATATCCGAGGCCTGCGGAGAGCTAGGTTTTTAGGACAGGGCGTGAACGGTAAGCGCAGACCTGTCATTTGTAGAGAGATCTTTGGGCCCGAACCTGTATCTTAATGTAATTTCCATGGAAACGATTCAGGGATCCTTAAAGGGCATTTATTAAACTGGGAAATAGTTTTGGAGAGCTTTTATAAAATGAATATTCTGCAATCCTCCTCGGCCTCTCTAAAGTTTATTTCCAGAATTCAGTCAATGTATTTTTACTTTCTCTGGAACTCGGTGTCACTGCCATGTTTATCGTTTCTAAACAGAAGGGTGGCATTTGGTGGGCCGAGCCCACGGGAGGGGTCCCCCCTTTCACAGATAGGAGGCGGACACCGTGACGCTCTCGATGCGCCTGGTGGGGAGTGAGGGGCGCTCTGTCTGGGGTGACGGAGTGAACGAGAGTCCTCGCCACGCTGTGACGGATGCGAGCGAGCGAAGAAGGGGCGCTGCCCTGAGACCTTCCAGCGGAAGGCAGGACGCCTCTCCTCAAGCTGTTCCCGTCAGATCGCCGTCCGCGTTGGGGCGGAGGAGGGATCTTTGCTGGTGTGTGCAGCAGTGAGTCAGAAGTGGCAATCGGCCTGAAGCTCCCGAGGCCCCGCTCACGCACCCCTGCCCCGTGGGGAGTCACACTCTGTCCGTTCCAGCTGTCCCTAGAGCGAAATCTAGTCTCTCTGCTTCTTTTCTAACGAGGTAAAAAAAATAACTTGAACTGCTGCCCGCGAGAGCCCACCTGGGGCTGGCCACGGGGTTAGGCTGTGTGAGTTTTCCTGGCGTGACTTTCGGTTTAGATATTTAGGTTCTGAGTGGCTCCCTTCCTAACGCGACCCCACTCCAATGGGGGTGGCGTTAGTGAGGAATGGGGGTGTCACCTCCCTCCCTACCCCCGCCCCAGACTCTAGTACAGGATGAGCAGTGCCATGAATGCCCACGGCCACCCCCCGGCCCCGAGGGAGGGGCGGGCCGCGTTTCTCTCCCGGCCTCCCAGGCCGTGACCCAGCCGTAAATACTTGTCCTTGGAGAGCTGCAGCCTCACTGACAATTGGTTCTAACTGTATTTATTCTCTTTGATGGGGGGAAACAATGGCCTGTGGTTCACGACACTTTCGGCCTCTTATGAATCAACACAACGTTAGGACGAAAGTGAAAAAAACCAGAAAGATCAGCAAAGTAGTGGCTGCTGAGAATAGACAGTTTCTTCTTTCTTTAGGGGAGGGGCTGAGGGCTGACAGTTCTCAACCAAGGATCTGTCACCAGAACGTCGGGAAAGGGGATGCGGGGACCGTCGAGCGCCCCGAAGCACCCAGTGCCCTTTGCCTCTCTCCCACGTTTGTGTTTTCAGCCTCCCAGTGCCCAGTGACGTGCGTGGTTGGCCACATGGCCCTGAGTCCTGATGGCTCAGGTGAACGCGGGGCCGGGAAAGGGACAACGGCGGGGCTGGCCCCGGGCTGGGATGCTCTCGGTGGTCCCGTCTGGCCAATGTTTTGTTTGTCTTCTGTAATAACTTGACCTACAGTGATTTTTCACCCTGACTGGCTCGATCCTGTATATTTATTTATTTTTGTAAATTGGAAAGTCATTTCTCATTCCAGAGATTTACTTATTTATATTTCCTTCTAATATTTACATTAAAAATATTAGCCTCTAGCGCGCCCAGGGTTTTTTGTTTTGTTTTGTTTTTTACTGTAATAAAGATCTAAATAGGCATGTTAAAGTCTAGTTGAACAGTCCTCCCGAATACTGCCAGTGGCAATAAGGCGGCCCCGGCTCCCAGCCACACAGGTGGCGGGTTCCCCCGCGGGCGCTCTGGGGGCGCGGGCGAGGGCAAAGCACTCGCCGAGCTCCCTGGGGCCCTGCTCGCTGGAGGCGGCGTTTTTTAGCACGTGGTTTATTATCTGGAATATCGCCGCCATTCTGTGATGTCATCAGAGCTGCCGTCCTGTCACCGGTGGATGGATGGAGAGAGGCAGGCAGAGAAGGTTCAGGGACTCGCTGGAGGTCAAAATGCCAAATAGTGAAGGAGCCAGGGCGCGAATTTCGGATCCCTGGACCGCGGTTCTTTCCGCGGGAGCCATGAGTCAGAGTAACGGGTTTTTGCTGATTATTTTTTTTATCATTACCCCCAGCTGAGTAGAAATAGTTCTTAAACACAACTCTACTTATAAACGTCAAAGTTACCTACTGTGGGGTGTTGAATGTACTTGATACATCGGACCTGAGAGGTCATCTTTATTTGTATGCGACGTTGACAGTTTTTTTCCTACAGAAGGTTTTCTGTTGGGACCAGGAGCTCGTTCAAGTGCAGGGACGTCCGGCTCGGACCCACGCCCTTCCCGTTCTCATACATAAGGTGTCAAACCCCATCTTAGGGACCGAAGTCCCGCGAGGAGCTGGAAGTATTTAGGAGACTCTGAAAGAAAACCTCAGCTTTGCCCCACTCGTGCCCTGTCTCTCTCGGGCTTGTTGTTTGTTCCCAGTTGTCCCGTGACGACGCTGCGCCCTTCCCTTGTTTCCCTGCCTTCCGTGTCGCTGGCTTCGGCTGAATTCCTAATCTCGGCTATAATTTTTTCTCCTAGGTAAAACCGACAACCAGTCCCTCATCCCCAAGGCCGGGGGGCTGGTTTTACTGCTGCTGTTTGTCATCCTAATGGCCACGGTCCTTGTCATCCTTTACATCAGGTGAGCCTCGCCCCCGCTGGGTCCCGTCCGCCCCGAGCGAGCCTGGTGTCCGAGGCTCTCTGCTGCCATCGCCCAGTCGTGGGTCAGGCTGTCTCAGCACCCACACCCCTTACCCCGAGTGCCGCCTCACGAAGAGAGGAAGGGGCCCTGGCAACAGTGGAGGAGGGAGGGGGAGTCGCCACGGACTCCTTAGTAGGGCTGGTGGCCGTGTTGACCGCGACACGAGGCGGCCCGCACTTTAATAAGCAAACCACGCAGTTTAAACGGTTGTCTGTTCTCGGAAACAAGCCACCTAGCTGCTCTCCTTAGACCTTATCAAGGAAGAAGGGGGTTGGGAGGGGCGACCGCAGAGCGAGCAGGTGGCCCTTGGCCCCTTAGCTCCCACCTCTCACTGTCGGGTGCATTGGGAGTTTCGGGATGTACTCAGTGGGCTCTTCCTTCCCTTGGCGCTCCGTGTTGCCCCACTCACGTGTCCAGGTGTCTGCCGCAATCTTAGCTGTGGTCACGTGGGGTTGGATTTACTCCTTAGACTGTGCTCCAACTAAAGTGACCTTCCTAAGGTAAGGGCGGGGGGACCGAACACTTGACGCCTACGCTTGGCACATCTAGCACATCGCGAGTCTGTGGTGTGATTCTTAATACCTCTGTTGAATATTTATCCCCAGGAGGAGAGCGAAACGTGCGCAAGGTAAAGAGTCTCAGGACCCACAGAATAAGGTACGTCTTCTCGGGCGGTCACGCCCCTCCCCTTCCCTTGCGCACCCTAAATGTCTTGTGAACACAGCCCACCTGGCCACGAGCAAGCTTCTGTCTTACTCTCCTCTCAACAACCTGGCCCCCAACCGCCTGCAGTTCAAGTGTCAGCTCTTTGATGCAGCAGTTATTTTCTGAGCTATTCTCCTATATTCATACCCTGCAAAACTGTTTGTTTTACTTTAATGTAAGTAAAAGAGCAGCCACACCACCCTAACAGTCAACACTGCACACCACCAAAATCTGTGTGGGTCGTCTAGGGCTGCTACAAGGACGTTCGCACAGACTGGGTGATTTAAAACAACAGCATCCATTCTCTCATGGTTCCAGGGGGCTGAAGTCCAAAACCAAGGTCTCGGCAGGGTCAGTTCCTGCCTGGGGTGCTGATCTGCCCCACGCTTCTCTCCGAGCTTCTTGCTGGCCTCTGGCGCTGCCTGGCGTTCCCTGGCTTGTGGCCCCATCGCTCCAGCCTCTGCCTGTGTCCTCAGGGCATTCTTCCCTGTGTGTGTGTTTCTGCAGCAACCCCATTTCCACGTAAGGTCGCATCATGAAGGCCTGGGAAGAACATACATTTTGGGGGGGACACTATCTGACCCAGTACAGGGCATAATACTTTCATGCCATAAGGTTATTGTGAGGATTAAATTAAATTAAACTACATAAAAAACCCACAGGCATGCAGGAAGCAAGAAGGTCCCAATCTGTGATATTCATTATCATTATTACCTTTTGATTAATGTGTTAATTAACAGATGCTCAGATTATAAAGCTGAAGAGCTTTCGAGGGGCTGCAGGCGTCTAATGAATGTGACCTTTTCCCCGCCTCCTGCCCCCTTTTGTTTACTGGAGAGAGTAGAAAGTTCCACCTGCGATCGCAGGTCAGAGGGATCCTCCTTTTCATGCTCATGTCTCCACAACAGGTCAGATCTTCTCTTTCACACATACTATATGTTTAGGAAATTTTACAATAAAACATCTCCCCAAGTGTTATCTGCAATTACATCCGTTTCTCTTCAACTTAATTACGTATCATTAAACTCTACCCGGCCGAAACGCCAAGCACGGAAACGTTTCTGAAAGTCGGTATGTGTGCTTCGGGCTTGTCAATAATCTATCAGTTTAACTTTTTTCTTCTATTAAGTAGTTACTCTTTGCAAAACAAAAGTTTTTCTTTCTGAATAACTCATGGCTTACCTTTTTGGCACCAACTGCAGGGGTCTTGCCTTGTTGTACCTGCCACTCCTGCGCTGGCTGAACAGTGCTCTGTCTCCGACAGTTTTTGGATCCATTCTCTGTCCTTAGCTGCTGTCCACTCGAGCCAACCCGAAGCCAAGTCTGTTGCTGTGAATCTCAGAGGGGGAAGGAGCTTTGCAACCGCCTACATTGTGTATTCCACTTTTCCAGGCTTTTGTAGAATAATGTTATTTTGAACGATGATTAGAAAGTTAGATTTTAAGTTGATATTAAGATGAAGTTAGACTTACTTGATTCTTTCCCCCTTCCCCCGACAGGCTATGTAAGCGACAATGACACTTAAACTTGCTTTCTCCTTGCAAACACCAAGCCACCCTAACGATAACATAACATTATCTCGAATGTGAATATCAGTTAATTTTGTTAATTTATTGTGTTCAGTTGCTTATTTTTAAGCCAGCACACCATGTAATTTAAAACATGGAAGCCTGGAACAGACTGATGAGTCTCGGAAGGGGGCGGAGGAGCGGGAGAGATTAACCAAAGAACTTACATGTGTACGTGCATGACCCGTGGACACAGACGGTAGTGCTGTGAAGGCCTGGGGGGCAAGAGCCAGGTGAGGGGGGCAGGGGGGAAAGAGGACACCTGTGATACTTTCAACAATGAAGATACATAAAAAACTAATACAAGTGTGGCCTCTGATGACACACATTCAGCAGAAGTTGATGGGGGCCCACAGCGGGAACATATTACACTAGACTTTCCACGTGAGACGGGGAATAATCGTTCTCGTGAAAGCAGCCTGGCCCGGGAGGGGGCTCTGCGTCTGAACAGTTTCATAAACCGAGGCTGGCAGGCAAGGAAGCCGGGCCTCTGCTGGCCTTGCCCGGAGCCCCGCAGGTCAAGGTCGTGATCTCTCACGAAGCTCAGTATGGTAAAGAGGAAGTTTTACAAAACGAATTGTAATAGAAATTCGACCTGCCTAGTTGAACAGAGGACACGCTTGTTTTCGGTGTCTTTGCTGGCGGCTGACACGCAGTGAGTTACTGACACCCTGTCCGCCTGTCTTTCTAGGCCTCCAACAACTACAAAATTTCCTTCTCCGTCANGGAGCCAGGTGAGGGGGGCAGGGGGGAGAAAGAGGACACCTGTGATACTTTCAACAATGAAGATACATAAAAAACTAATACAAGTGTGGCCTCTGATGACACACATTCAGCAGAAGTTGATGGGGGCCCACAGCGGGAACATATTACACTAGACTTTCCACGTGAGACGGGGAATAATCGTTCTCGTGAAAGCAGCCTGGCCCGGGAGGGGGCTCTGCGTCTGAACAGTTTCATAAACCGAGGCTGGCAGGCAAGGAAGCCGGGCCTCTGCTGGCCTTGCCCGGAGCCCCGCAGGTCAAGGTCGTGATCTCTCACGAAGCTCAGTATGGTAAAGAGGAAGTTTTACAAAACGAATTGTAATAGAAATTCGACCTGCCTAGTTGAACAGAGGACACGCTTGTTTTCGGTGTCTTTGCTGGCGGCTGACACGCAGTGAGTTACTGACACCCTGTCCGCCTGTCTTTCTAGGCCTCCAACAACTACAAAATTTCCTTCTCCGTCAACCAGCCGTCAGATGGTGCAGGAGAGGACGTTTACGTCAACTACCCGACCTTCTCTCGGAGACCGAAGACTGGAATCTAAGCTTTCTCCCTGATTCGAGCAGATTTATGGGGACCGTCACGTCCCTGGACCTTTGTACAATTTCTTCCCACTGCTCAGTGTCTACTCTGGATACCAAGTTGACTGAATATATTTTTAAAATTTTTTTAAAAATCCAAACATCACCCTATTTAATTCCCCAATGAAACACTGGAGAAAGGACTGTGAGTGCATATAAAGTCGTCACCTTATAAGTAACAGAAGCCTATGCACCAATTTCTGAAGTTCTAAGATATGTTGCCTTTATTTGTTGTATATTAACAAAGCAGGATATGACAAAATATTGAAGGCAGTCTCCCAGCCATGGGTCTCGTTACCTCCTGCCTGAAGGGGCAGCTGGCGACGGTCTGGAAGGCACCAAACCTCCTGCCCCCCCCCCC